ATGCTACCCATCATTTTCTCAAACGCATCGGTTACCAGATGTTTTACCCTGCTCCTATTCCCCTCCAAATTTCTCGTCATTGTGATGGTAATGGCGATATTAGCAGTTTCATTATTTTCGTTTGAAGGCAAATAAAATAAGGAAAGAGTAGATCAAGAATGATGTTCTCTGAATTTTTGAAGGAAGTACCACTCACCAGTAAGGGTATTTCTATGGTTGTTGAAACAGGGTGGAGCCAACTGACTCACATATAGCGAGTAATTACGAATAGTTAGTCTGATAAATAGAACTGGAATAAATTGTCCGTTATTTTTACTACAAGCATTGTCTGTTTTGAAAATCACTTTCTTCATTAATTTTGTTGCAATTTGTCCCATCGCTCTTGAGGGTGGTTTTATCAGTTTTGCTTAAAACTTCCTAGGATCAAACATTAAACACAATATGGCTGTAGATAAACTGGAAGAAAGACTCGCCCAAACAGCGTCCCCAGGCTCAGAGTTAAAGCGACAGATTCATGTAAGAATACAGTCTTTTAAAAATCTAGTAAGCTTACCTTAGCTTAGTACAAGATTAAATAGAAGCAGATACTAGATAGAACGGAAGAGAAGACCGTGTCTTGAAAGACAGAATTCCGTCATAGCATTTTAACTTAGCAGATATACGGATCACTTGTATCGGCTTGAAATCTCGTCTCAACCTCGAAAACGACGTCGGTGTCTTTTATACGAATCTTTTTGTTTAAATTCTTGATATCAAACACATTTCACCATTTATTTCTAGTTTTTTTTTTATCCTCCCTATTTTTTTCTTTTCCTTCAGGCTTTCTTATTCCCTTCCTAGTTTCTTCTTTTTATGTTTTTTTTTCCGTACTAACTTACTAGTTTCTTTTTTTTTTTCATTATTTGCTTTTATTCCTTCCAGCTTTCTTCTTTTTCTTCCGATTTTTTTTCTTTTCCTTCCTAGTTTATAATTTTCTTTTTTATTTGCTAATTTTCATTATTATTTTTTTTCCTTTTTTTTTTAATTCTTCTTTTCTTTTACTAGTTTCTTCTTGTTTCTTCTTTTCCTTCATTATTTTCTTCATTTCCCTCGTACTTTCTTCTTTTTCTTTATATTTTCTACTTTTTCTTATTCTCTTCTTTTCCATCTTATTTTCTTCTTTTCCTTCCTATTTTCTATCATTCTCCCCATTTCTTTTTTCATTCCGAATTTCTGTTTTTATTTCGTGTTTCGTTTTTTCCTTCCTAGTTTTTTTTATTATACTACTAAGTTTCCTTCTGCATTTCCAAATTTCTTCTTCTTTCCTATTTCTTCTTTTCCTTCATAGTTTCGTCTTTGACTATTTAGTTTCTTTTTTCCTTTCCTAGATTCTTTTTTCTTCTGTTCCTTCTTTATTTTCTCGTTTCCTTCCTATATTTTTTTCTTTTTCTTTCCGTTTTCTTCTTCTACTTGCGATTTTCTTCTTTTCCTTCTCATGTGCTTCTTTTGCTTCCTAGTTTCTTCTTTTCCTTTCAGGTTTTTCACTTTTCCTTCCTATTTCTTCATTTATTTTCTATTTCCTTATTTTATTCCTACTTTCTTCTTTTTCTTTTTCTACTTTCTCCTTATTACTTCTTTTCCTTCTTTATTTTTTCTTTCTTTTCTACTTTCGTTTTTTTCTTTCTATTTTTTTACTTTTCCTTACTTTTTCTTTCTTTTCTTAATATTTTCTTCTTTTCCTTCCTAATTTCTAAATTTACTTCCGGTTTTCTTCTTTCCTTTCCTCGTTTTTTTCTTTTTCTAATACGTGTCTTTTATTCCTTAATAGGTTTCTAGTTTCTTTTCGTTTTTATCTGTTTGTTTTCCTTTCAGGTTTCTTCACTTCCTTCCTATTTTTTGTTTTTCTTCCTATTTTTTAATTCTCTTTATTATTTTATTCTCTTCATGATTATTTCTTTTTTTTTCCTTCCTATTTCTACTTTTCTTTTCCTACTTTCTCCTTGTTACGTCTTTTCTTTATTTATTTTCGTAATTTCCTTCCTATTGTCTACTTTTTACTATTTTTTCTTTTCTTTCCTATTTTCTTCTTTTACTACTAACTTTCCTCTTTCCTTTCCTAGATTCCTCTTTATTCTTTTTTTCTTAGTTATTTTTTCATTTTCTTCTTACTTTATTTTTTTCTTTCTATTTTTTACTTTTGCTTTTCGTAGTTAGCTCTTGTTTCTTCTTTTCCTTCATTTTCTTACGTTTTCTTCTTTTTCATTCTATTACTTCTTTTCCTTCCTATTTTCTTCTTTTCATCCCTACTTTCGTTTTTCATTCCTAGTTACTTCTTTTACTACTGATTTTTTCTTTCTTAGTTTCTTAATTTCTAATTTTCATTGTCTTCATTTCCTTCATATTTTCTTCCTTTTCTTTCTAATTTCTTCTTTTCTATTTATATTTTTTTTTTTTAGCTAACTGCCTTCTTTTTCCTACAAGTTTTTTAGTTTATTCTTTTCCTTCTTAGTTCCTTCTGGTTTCTTTGTATTTTGTTTTCATTCTATTTTCTTCTTTTCCATCCTATTTTCTTCCTTTCCTTCCAATTTTCTCCCCCTCATTTCTAGTTTCATATTTTCTTCTTTTCCTAAAACAGTTTTTCTATTTTTTTTTAATTTCCTAATTTCTTCTTTTCCTCTTAATTCTTTCCTATTTTCTTCTTCCCCTTCCTAGTTCATTTATTTCCTCTTATTTCCTACTTTTCCTTCCTAATTTATATTTTCTTTCTTATTTCTTCTTTTTCTCCCTATTTTTTCTTTTCATTCATAGTATCTTCTTTTTTTCTTTCCTAGTTTCTTCTTATTTCTTCTTTTCATTCTTTATTTTCTTCATTTCCCTGCAATGTTCTCCTTTTTTTCCTAGCTTATACTTTTCCTTCGTATTTCTTCTTTTCTTCCTATTTTCTTCTTTCCCTCTTATTTGCTTCTTTTCCTTTCAATTTTCTTATTTTCCTTCATCTTTTAATCTTTTTCCTTCCTTTTTCTTATTTTCCTTCTTATTTGCTTCTTTTCCTTCCTATTTTCTTATTTTACTTTCCAGTTTCTTCTTTAACTTCGTATTCGCTCCTTTTTCTTTCCTATTTTTTATTCTCCTTCCTTTGTTTCTTTGTTTTCTTTCTATTTTCTTCTTTTCCCTCTTATTTTCTCTCTCTACTTTATAGATTGCTAGATTCTTCTTTTCTTTTCTATTTTCTTCTTTTTCTTTTTGGTGTAGTCTTTCACTTTGTAGTTCCTAGTTTTTTATTTTCCTTCTTTTTTTTCTCTTTTTCTAAATGGTTCATTCATTTTTCTTTCTAGTTTCCTTTTTCCATACTTAGCTTCTTGTATTCTATCTTTTCTTTCTTTCTTTCTTTCTTTTCTTTCTTTTTTCTTTCTTTCTACGTTTACTTCCTTTTTTTCTTTTCCTTCTTGTCTTCTGGTTTTCCTTCCAAGATTCTTGCTTTTCTTCTCAGGTTCGTCACTGTCCTCTTAGTTCTTTCTATTCCTTCCTATTTTTCATTTTTTTACTTCGTTTCCATTTTAACTTCTTCTCTTCCTTCTTAATTTCCACTTTATTTTTAGTTTCTGTTCTCGCATTTACATTAGACACACATTCTTATTTACTCAATTCTTCGATATTTCTCTAGTTCTTCTCTTATCTCAAACATCTGCTCTTTCGTCGAGTTGCTTTATTACAAACACCGACGTTTTAGGATTCAACTGAACACAGACAAATCTCCGTCACTGAAAAGGAGATAAAACATTTCATAGTTTCCCTGTATTCACTACTTTTGCTCGAGGATCTGCCAGATCGATTCACACAAGATCTTGGATGCTGAAGCAAATTTTATGTCTTCCTGTATCTAAGAATAGTAAGACTGAGTAAATAGATGTGCGTGTCGAACGCCCACTGCAAACGGACTAAGTCCATTGTAGCGTGGAGTCCTTTCTGCATAAATCAACACTAAAAATTGATCAACAAAATAGATCGTCTAAATCGCAAACGAAATAAAAAGTTCCCTTTGTGGTTGGTTCAATACTAGAATCGTTTAAAGTATGAGGTGCTATAATTCTTATCAGGAACATAAAAAGGCGAAGAATCATTGCAAGAAGACAGGAAGGCGAAGCAAAAAGGCAACGGCAAAAATAGTATTGAGAAAAAAAAGCAACATAATAAGTAGAAAAATGGTTGTCTATAGAAACAGAGGAAAAATATATACGCCAACGGAGATTTTTAAAATGTGTAAAATGTAGACAGAGAAAAGGGAAAAGAAAAGATCAAATATGGTTAGGAAGAGAAAACAATGTAAATAATTAATCGGTATAGATAGAAAGAAGGATATGCACGAAAAAGAACGAGATACTATAAATGGAGGCGTCTTCTCAACGAATTTATTCAACCAAAACGGCGGGAAGAACTAAAAGTCCTACCAAGATTTAATTTTTGATGTTGCGTTTTATGGTTTCATTTCTCAAGGCTCCAAAGCGACATCAAGGAAGAATAGATTCTTTTTCTATCTCTCTTTATTTTATAAGAGTGGTAGTGGTATCATCGTTTCTAGTAGGAAGTATGTTAGGCGGGTACCCAAAATCTTATCCACACGTGTTTCTTGCCTCACTAAGCAATCTGGGTGCGGAAGGTATCTTGGCCCATTTAATTCTCGAAGCCGTCTCCTTGTCTTCGCTCTCTTTTTATCCTGATATAAAAACAAACAGAGACGATCCATCAAGCTTCTGGTAAGTAACTTGCCTTTCTTACGTATTTTGCAACAATGGTGAATAGAATATTAGCAACATAAGATACGTAGATGACACATTGATTGCAGACACAGGACTGTAAACTGTGAGAAGTCAATGCATAGTCATTGGCAAGATGAACAGAACAAGGCGTGTGATAAAAGATGTGTTTCAAAAAAATCAAGTCCATAGAGAAATGGAAATCTGAAATCTGTCATGGAATCTAAAATTTATACTCATGAGAAATATACATTGTGCTCCTCGCCGTTCCTCTGAGTTTAATTTATGAGGCAGTCATCAGGTGCGGATTAAAAACTGACCGCAGTCAATTTAAATATTGACATTTATAACCTACTTTTAAAGTAGTAAAGCAGTTCATTTACTTATGGGCTAAAAATAATATATATATATATATATATATATGTATATATATGTGTGTGTGTGTGTGTGTGTGTGTGTGTGTGGGAGAGAGAGGGAGAAATGTTTTTTCTTAAATATTGTCCTTTTATTTTCTATATTTCGACCCATTTAACATGTTTCCGTTAAAAATTTAAATTGTACTTGAGGTATATATATATATATATATATATATATATATATATATATATACGTGTGTGTGTGCGTATGTGTGTGTATGTTTGTGTGTGTGTGCATGTGAGAGAGATAAATTAAGGTTTTGTAAATGTTCTTGCTTAAATATTGTCCTTTTATTTTCTATATTTTGACTCATTAACCATGTTTCCGTTAAAATTTAAATTGTACTTGATATATATATATATATATATATATATATATATATATATATATATATATATATAAATTGGGGGGAATCAAATATTCGTACACATACATTTATATATTTATTGTATTTCTAACTATTATTCATATAAACATACTTTTCAGATATTTAACAGCACTCAGATGCATAATAACTAAATATGCACAGAAAACAGAAAATATTTGATTCAATAGAAATAAATCCGATTTATTCATTTTAATGGGTGAAAAAGTATTCGTACCGCAGAAAAAGAATAGGTAATGTTCATTTAATACTTTGTTGAATGGCCATTATTCACTTCTACAGCACCCAACCTCTTCTTGTGGTTCCCAATTAATGATGTGCAAATTTTAGTTGTTATTTGGTTTCTTTCTTCTTCGCATATGGTCTTCACATCCGGGATGATTGTTGGAGTTCTCGATTTAATTTGAATTTTCAAATAACGACACAGATTCTCGATCGTTGGGGACTTACTTGGCCATTTCAGGATATTTACATTAATTTCAGCCACTCCTTTCTTTGTAGATTTTGCAGTGTTCATTGGATCACTATCTTGTTTTAGTATCCAGTTAGGAAGAAATTCAAAGTTTTCAACTGAAATCATTAAGTTTGCTTCCAAAATATTTTGATATGTTGCAGTATTCATTCTACCATCTATTACTGATATAATGCCAGAACATTCTGCAGAAAGAACACCCCCAAACCATGATGCTGCCACCACCAAATTTTACTGTTGGAACAGTGTTTTTTTGTTTGAAGGCTACGCCATCTTTCTTCCATATATAATTTTTAGAATTAAGTCCAAACTGCTCGATTTTATTTTGTTTTTTTTTTTGTCTCCATAATACTCTTTCCCCATACGATTTTTCCTTATCCTTATGTTCACGAACGAATTTCAATATGGCATCTCTGGGTCTTTTCAATAGCAACGGAGTTTTCCGAGGGCAGCGTGAGTTGTTCCTATGAATTTCATTGCTTATTGTCCGTTTATTGACACAGATTCCTTATGAAGTCAAATCATCCTGCAATTCTTAACGAGTAACCATTGGATTTTGTTTAATTTAACGCATGATTTTCCTCGAAGAGTTTGAAGAAATCTTCCTTGGAGCGCCTGTTGTCTTAGATTTTTCAAGAGTTTTCATTTTTTATACCTTGCAATGAATAAACTAATAGTAGTAAATGAAATATTCAGCTTGAGATTTTCCTTTAACTTTTCCCTTCTTTCCAGAGCTTAATAATCTGTTTCTTTACGAATTTGTCAATTCTTTACCTCTTGCCATGATGATAACCTTCTTGCACGAATAGCAATTACAGAATGTTCTGTTTGCATTTTTAGGCTAAAAATAACTACTTATAACATTATTGGAACATTCTAGAATATTCTACTGGAATAGTCTAGAGTATTAAAGCAATTTAATAGTTTTAAAATCTGAAATTTGCATTGTACTAACACTTTTTTCATCAATTAAAATGGATAAATGAGATTTATTTCTATTAAATCTGAATTTGTTCTGTTTTCTATTCATATTCAGTTATTATGCATCTCTGTACAGTTAATTACATGAAAAGTAGGTTTATTCATTAGTTAGAAATACAATAAATTAAAAATTTGCATTTGTACGAATATTTGTTTCATATATATATATATATATATATATATATATATATATATATATATATATATATATATATATATATATATATCATGATTAAAGTCAATATTAGAGGCGACAGGCTGTTTCATGCTAGAAGCAATCGTGGCCTGACCATTGCATCTAGTATGAAACAGCCTGTCGCCTCTAAGTGTTGACTTCTATGTTCACTTTTATATTTACACACGCTCTATCTCTGATATTGAGCACTTTATCCCATAAATACAACACACATTAAGACTATATTTTTTCATATATATATATATATATATATATATGCATGTATGTATGCATGTATTTACATTCATTCAAATGCAAAGATATAAATATCTAAATATATAGCAATGCAGAAAATGTAGACAAGTATGCAAAAGCATACATATCCCAGTTCAAAATATTTTAATAATTTTATACATATATTTACACATACCTATATACATATAATCTCTAATATATCCCATAATTATAATGTAAATACAAATATACACATATTATATATATATATATATATATATATATATATATATATATATATATAAATTGACAGTAGTACTGAGTTTGTCATTTTAAATAAAACATGTATTAAATAGGGACTGCTACCAAAATACAAAACTATCTCTGTGTGACTGTGTTTGTGTGTCTGTATGTGTGCGTGCATCTGTGATTAGACAAATATTAAGTTATTTCGCATTTACAAATGGAAGTTTCGCTTTGAAGTATAATATATAAAATAACAGTAAAATCTTTTAATGGTGTTACCAGGTTATGTGAGACTGTCGATAATTAAGTTTGTGTATTTGGTCTTTGGCAAGAGAATAAAGTAAAGTATAAGTAACAACAAAATTTTCATCAGATAAGCAGAAAGAGAAAACTAAACAGACATGATGAATTACCATAGAGACGTAGGATAAGAAAAAAAAGAAAGAAAGAAAGAAAAGAGAAATTAATTAGATTAAGAAAAATAAATGAAGAACAAAAAAGAAAGACAGAATGAAACTACGAAATAATGAAAAAAATAAAAAAGAAAGAAAAAAAATAATAATTAGATTAAGAAAAATGAATAACGACCCCCAAAAGAAAGACTGAATGAAACTATGAAATAATAAGAAATCAGAAAGAACAATGACCAAACAAAAAAAAAAAAAAAGAAAGAAAGAAAGAAAGAAAGAAAGAAAGAAAGAAAGAAACTAATTAGATTAAGAAAAATACATAACGAACAAAAAAGAGAGATGGAATGAATCTATGAAATAATGAAAAAAAAAAAGAAAGACCAACGACTCAACAAAAGAAAGAAAGAAAGAAAAAAAGATAGGAAGAAAGAAAGAAAGGAAGGAGGGAAGAAGGAAATAAAGAAATAAATAAAGGAAGGAGGGAGGAGGAAAGAAAGAAAGAAAGAA